TCTCTTTTATTATTTAGGATAGTATTAATATTGATAAAATATCTTAATTATATAAAGCTGACTAAAGTAGAGGTTTCTAATTTTGGAATTACCTACCAGTACCTGTGACAAGAAAAAAAATATTTTGTAGCCATATCTTACCTATTAACTAGAAATTCTACTATACAATTTTGTCTTTGGTTACATTAGACTGTCACTAGATTTGCCTTTGCCTCAAAGGACAAGGAGTCTCTAACTGCAAATGTGGCATCATCCAGAAGAAGGAGAGACTTGGGGCCCTAGGATGTGCTTTTAGTAGCCAAATTGGTGAAAAGGTCTGAGGGAAGGGGCTGCTCTGAAGCAGCTGTTTGCCAAACAATATGGAAGTATTTTATCAAGCAGTAAGGCCACACTAGTGGGTGACAGCTGGCCTTACAGCACTCAGATGCATTTCCATTTAGTGTTGTGGATACAATGTAGGTTCTACCAACAGAAGCTCCCACTGGCCCCCGCTGTCACTGTCTAGTCACTAGCTTCATTGGATTTCTGACTTTGGGTAAAGTGCTTTTCATCTAAGCCTCAATGTGTATTCATTTGGATCATAATGAATCTAATTCAAATAACACCAATTATAAACTCCTTTAGAGCAATTCTGTTTGTGATTTTTGTCAAGCTGTAAATGATAGTAAAATAGATTCTTTAACATATTTACTCTTTTCCCCCCAGTATTACCGAAGTTCGAAGTCACTCTGCAGACACCATTATATCACTTTCTGAAGTCTAAGAGTTTAAATGGTGTTGTCACAGCAAAGTGAGTACCCTCTTTCATGACTACAAACTGTTATAAACTGTATGACAGGGAGCTCATCATATACCACAGATAGTAGCACAGTCTGCTTATTCAGATACCTCAATGGGCAGGAAACAAATATCTGCAATAAACAATTAAACATGGAACACGTCCGCACAGATCTTTGTACACATCTCTCTGCTTCCAAGTTGGTCCTGAAATATTTTCCACACACTAGGGTCTTTCCAAGACTAATCAAGGGATTTACATGATAGATTATGCCAGATTTGTTTTTTTGAAAAAGTACTGTTATTCCTCATTCTTAAGGCATGGATGGAGGTGATTTACCTCTTCTTAAATCATAATTTTTTTTCTCTGTTAATAATGGAGGTTGACTCTTGGGGGAGGGGTTTGGTTGTCTGATTGCTATTAGCATATGAGTAAATAATTCACACTCATCATTTTAGCATAGGTACACAGTTGCCTAGGGATGATGTCTGTGGTTATGGCATGTCTTTCCAAGACTAATCAAGGGATTTACATTATAGATTATGCCAGATTTGTTTTTTTTAAAAAAGTACTGTTATTCCTCATTCTTTTTTTTAAAAATATATATTTTATTGATTTTTTACAGAGAGAGGTCCAGTTGTCATGATTTTCAGGCTTACCAATGCAGTTTCAGGAGGGTCTGCTTTCATTCAGACTGATGATATAATTTACAACTTTGCAACAGGCTAATGAAACCTTCTGACCATCAGTGTCTTCTTTAAGTGTATTAAAATTGGCATAGACTGCCCACCAGCGTGGCTCAGTGGTTGAACATCAACCTATGAACCAGAAGGTCACGGTTCTATTCCCAGTCAGGGCACATGCCTGGGTTTTGGGCTCAATGATGGAGGTGATTTACCTCTTCTTAAATCATAATTTTTTTTCTCTGTTAATGATGGAGGTTGACTCTTGGGGGAGGGATTTGGTTGTCTGATTGCAATTAGCATATGAGTAAATAATTCACATTCATCTTTTCAGCATAGGTACACAGAGACTTCCAACTCACAGATGTATAGTGACTCCCATGATTTTGATCTATTGGATTGAACAGCAAAGCATCTGGCTTTGCTGAGACAGAAAGCATCCTCAGAGTTCCAGACTAGCATTTCTCAAACTGAAGATGCAGACAATAGTATGGTGGTTACCAAAGGAAAAGGGAGGTAGCAAAGGGTAGAGGAAGTTGAGTGTTTGGTGATCAACAAAGATTTGACTTTGGATGGTGGCCACAGAATGCAGGATACAGATGATGTATTATAGATTGTATACTTGAAACCTGTATAATTTTATTAACCAATGTCACCCCAATACATTTAACAAAAAAAGAAAATAAAGGAACCTGACATATCTAGATTTAACATTAAAAAACAAACAGAATAGGCTTAAATTAGTGGTTCTCAAAAGTACAGCCTGGGTTTGCCCTCAAGTAATTCTAGGACTGATCTCTTGTAGCTTTTATTTTTGATGCATCAATATCTGTGCTTTTTTTCCTGAAATTTATTTAGTTTCAGAATTTATGTGTAGTAGCTGATAAAAACTGGACCTCATCTCACTGCTGTCTCAGCGCCATGTTCCTCTCTTGGTGAGGGTTTGTGTCAGTGGCAAGTGATGGGCTGTGAGTCTCCTGGCAGAAGCAGTCCACAGACCAAAACTTTCTGAGGACTCCTGATTTAGATTCTATCTGGCCCAAATCACCTGAAGCCCATGCAACACAATGGCAAAAACATGTCTCCGATTTATACACCAAGTTGGTTTTCTGCCATGTTCAACTAAGAAGTAGCTTCCAAAGTGAACTTGAGTATTGTGGATGGATTTATGGTTTAGAAAACATATTAATGCCTGCATTGTACATAATTTTTATCTTGCCCTTTATCTTGGCTGAAGGTTAAGCCTCCGTCTGGGTTTTATTTTGAGTTCTTTGACTAATGCTTATAAAACTTAGTAAGTGCAAATTCACACAGCCCATCAGTGTTTGCATAGGTTAAGTTGAGGGTGGATATAATCTTTGCTTTTGTTTTTCAGTGTTTTGCCAGGGATTTAATACAATTAGTTAAAACAGTGGCTCTTAAACTCTGGTAACTTCAGAAAATTTTATATACAATATTAGGGGGGTGCATATCTCCTGAAGCCACACCCTCCTCCTCCTAGCCCAGTAACAAACCTTGTAGTTTCATCCTGATTCTCATTTGTTGAGCCTCTTTGAAATAGGAATGGCTGAGAGTGACATGATAATTGTGTTGGCTCTCTGGCATTTCTTTAGTGTTCACCACATTGTATTTTCATCATTTTCCTTAGTGTGTGTAGCAGTCAAGGTTCTATCATAGAAGTAGAATGAGTAGGGGATACATAGTGAGATTTGTTGTAAGGAATTAGCTTATGCAAATGTGGGGGCTGGCTAGACACATTCAAAATCTGTAGAGGAGGCCGTTAGGAGGGGTAGGCTGGAACTCTCAGGCATAGGCTGAAGTTGTCCACATGCAGAATTTCTTCCTCTTTAGGGAAGTCTAAGGTCTGCTTTTAAGGCCTTTCAACTGATTGAGAAAGAAACAGGTGCACACAGATGATCTAGGACAGCGATGGCGAACCTTTTGAGCTCGGCGTGTCAGCATTTTGAAAATCGCTAACTTAACTCTGGTGCCATGTCACATATAGAAATTTTTTGATATTTGCAACCATAGTGAAACAAAGACTTATATTTTTGATATTTATTTTATATATTTAAATGCCATTTAACAAAGAAAAATCAACCAAAAAAATGAGTTTGCGTGTCACCTCTGACATGCATGTCATAGGTTTGCCATCACTGATTAGGATAACCTCCTTAAAGCCAGCTGATTATGGAATTTAAACACAACTATAAAATACCTTCAACTCAACACGTAGATTAATGTTTGATGGAGTGACTGGGCACTCTAAACTAGTGACGTTCACACATCAAGACCTTTTCAGTATGTGTGCTTTGTCTGTTGTAGATAGTGAGCCTCTTATTGCCATTGGAAGTTCTCAGATCTGGCTAGTTCTGATAATCATTCCAGGTCTCCTTTCTTCAAGCTTCAGTTGCCTAGGGATGATGTCTGTGGTTATGGCAAAGGAAGGTAGTTCTGTCCCAGGGCAGTGCGATCTTCTGTGTCATCATCCAAAGACCTAGGCCCCTTTTCCCATAGGAATAAACTTTTCCTCTGTTCCAGCTGTCATGAGTTTCAAGTTTACCAATGCAGTTTCAGGAGGGTCTGCTTTCATTCAGACTGAGGATATAATTTACAACTTTGCAACAGGCTAATGAAACCTTCTGACCAGCAGTGTCTTCTTTAAGTGTATTAAAATTGGCATAGACCACCCACCAGCGTGTTTTCATT